AATTGAAAGTGAAATATTTGATACTATTATGTTCTCACAAAATATTAAGAGCTCATTTATATTGGTTAGATTCATAAATCATAATGGAAGTATCAATTTATATTTGGAATAAGTTCAATTTTTTTTTATATATTCGGTAAACTTTCTGAATAATATTATTGAACATAATTTGACCTTTATTCAATGGTACAAATCAATTAATTTGGTAGAAAATAGATTTTATTTCAGATCTAAAAATACCATGAATGTTTAATTGTGGAGTACTGAATTTTATTCAATTAAATATGAATGTATAATCTTTATTCATAATATTTTTAACTGATTTATTATAATTAGATATAGAATCTTAAATCGACAAGATTCTCATGAATATTTAACTGTAATTCCTCTAAATTGTAAATATAATATATAATTAAAAATTTGACAAATATATGAATTTTGACAAAAATTGAAATTTTGATGAATATCTAATGATTTTTTGAGGAAAAATTTAATAAAATATATAGTAAAAATGGTGCAAATATAGCAAATAATACTGAATTATATAATAGAAATTGATTGAGGATTTATTTATACCAAATTATATGTCAAATTATATGGTAAAAATAGATTGATAATTTATTTATGTCATTAATATGCCAAATTATTTGTTTTTTTGATGAATGTTACACAAGTAGCATTATAATGAATAAATATTTTTCAACTAGTGTTATTAAAATCAAATTTTTATCTAGTTTATTTGTTTTTATTTTATATTTTACTTTTGAAACTCTAAATATATTTTTAGAAATAATTTATTGTTTTATCAATAGTTTAGATAAAAATTCTTTCAATTATTAATATAAATTATTTTTATAGAATTTCATATAAATTCTAATAAGTTTCAAAACCTAATTATTTTTATATTTAATTTTTTTTATTAAACATTTTTTTAAAAAATTTTTTTCTGGATTTTTTTTTTAGTAATAATTCTTTTTTGTTAAATATATAAATTTTTAATTTGAGAAACTTGAAAATCTTTTATTTTATTCTTTCTACAGATTATTTACATAGATTTTTATCTAATTATTTTTTATCTTTTATATTTTAAAATTTTTTTTGTACTTAATTATAGATTTTTTTTTATATTTATTATTTATATTCTTATTATTTTTTTTAATTCTTTTATTATAGTAATTTAGATTTATTATTTTTTAAATAAGATTTATTTGTATAAGTTTTGTATAAAAATTCAGAGTGTTTTAACTTATTTTTGAAATTTGATTTACAAGCTTAAAGATTTACTTGTTTGATTTTATTTATTTATTATTATTATTATTAATGATCAATCTTGGTTGCAGTAGTAACCTGTAAACAATGAAGTTAACAGTTGGAAAGGTCTTTACCTAAACTATCAATGAAATGATAAATCCTTCTTGAAGTTACACTTAGAGTTTTAATAATTCTTAAAATAGAGAAAGTGTGTTAGGTAAAGACTTAGCTTTAGTGATATATTTTTAATGTAAAGTATAAATATATTTAATAAAATATATATATTTAGTTTAACAAAAGATTTAAAAAAAAAAATTAATGATCAATCTTGAATTTTTTTTTATTTTTTATTTTTTTTTATAAAAACTTTCTAAAGTTTTTAAGGATTTTATCTAATTTTTTATTTCATACTTTTTGTAACTGATCTTTAAAAATTAAATATTTTAATAAATATTTTATTATCTTAATCTATTAATTATATACAATAAATTTTACTTATTTACAGTATATAGAACAAATTTTCTTATAATTAGTTTACTTGGTATTAATAGCTTATTCCTAGTCAATTAAAAAAAGCGACAAATAATTTAGTCAAGTGATTTTATAATTTTATAGTAAATTTTATGAAATTTGTTAAAAATTATTAATTTTCTAAATACTTGTCAAAATTTGATATTTATTTATTGCTAAATTTGATTTACTGATTTTTTTGTTAAAATATTATCAATATTTTATATACAGGGTGCAATGTTTTATTAGTAAATTTAATCAAATTTGATAATAATTTGAAAGTTGAATGCTATTACGAAATAACAAATTGTTCTCAATATCAAGCTTAAAGGTTTTATGCCTATCATGAGTGAGTTAGATTTGCATGTACATGTATAGTTTAGCTATATGCTGCTCGAAGGAATATGTACTTTTGCATTCTTTTAATTAATAAACTTCCGATCTAACCAACCTTATTCGCAAAAAATTTTTTTCATTTTTGATAAAGGAACCAGGCACGTGATCACGTGCACAAAAAAATTTTTATTTTATATATTGTTTTCGTTTCTATTGTAGTACTCTGATTTTTTCCTTGCTACCTTTCTTTTGCGCATTCCTACATACCCTCTTATACTTTGATATCTTAGAGTTTAGTTACCTTACGGCTTATCAGGCGACTTACTAATACGAAGTCTAATGTGTCAGTCACCAAGCTTCTACTCTAGCAGTATTCTATGTTGTTACCACGGAAAGAAACGTCCGATGATTTTTTTTATTATAAAAACAAGAGGTTGGAATTTATACTGCATACTATACAGCCTACTATACTGTACGTCATATCCGGATTCTGCAGAAGAAAACAGCACTTCATGCAGAATTCTTCCACGACAGATTTCTGAACACCCTACACATGTCCTGAATGCATTGAAATTTTTTTTTCCCAAGCGAGATATAATCACTTATCGATGATACTTCCCTTCACAGTAATCTGCGATCATTACGTTCGACCTCATCCATGTCACGAGAATAAAAAAAAAAAAAAATAAAGACTTGATGTTCATTTATATGCAGAAACGCGCCTAGCCTTTCTTGATAATGATACGCGCACAGGGTCTGTTTAAGATAGCAATTTTTTTTGTATCTACTTCCTTTATTAATACAATCTCAATGACCCCATTACGGTATCATGCATAAATGGCTCATTTAAAGCGTAACTGGTACAAACAAAATGTGCATCGCCTTGCCCTTTTTTAATCTATTTCTTTGTTAGATCACATAATTTTCAAATATACTTTTATCTATATGCGTAATAAATGACGTCTTTGTTTTCCGATGGAATAGTAGTTGTTAATGTACCATGCTAATATAGATCCGATGCATCAACATCAATTTCTCAGTCTTCTCATTCTTCCCCTTTAAAAAGCAGTCATCAAATGGTTCTGCCATTCCAGGAATTTTGGGTGAGCTCGAAATTTAATCATTCGCCTTTTTTATTAGTACCTGATACATTGATGCGTTAACGAGACGGCAATAGATATTCTTGTTTTTCGGTGTCTGGGCGGAAGCCCAAAAATTGCTTTTTCCAAAGAAAGATTCCGAGAAGAATGAGGATGTCATTTTGTTTGAATTTTTATCATTTTCATCTGATCCTTGGTGACACAATCTTAAGATCACACTCGAGCCAATTTCACGAGTCACGTTCGCGTTTCCTCATGTGGCATTCACTTTTCAAATTGGATAAATGACATCCCAAATAAGATTTCCGAGTTCCGTTCTATTTATGTCTATTTATGCATAATAGATACAGTACGTAGTTACTTGCGTCTATTTATAGACTTTGGATTTGGCATTCCGACGTTAATATAATTTTCTTTGATACTGTACGTATACGGTACTGTAATTATCAGAATTATCAGATAGTCGATTATTTAATGATTTCTTTGGTATTTCGACGGGCATTCGCTTTTCATGGAATGATTTTTTACGCCCCATTTTTTATTTTGCTTTTGCATTGCACAACTAACTACATGCTGCGAAATCAAAACGAAAATTTTTGGTCTACACCCAACACTTGTCGACTAGATCCCTTGAAATCATCAGTGTGGTATTGGTGCTAGTGAAGGAATACTTGGCTTCTTCTTCTTCTTTTTTTTTTTTTTTTTACTACACTTCGTATGTCAAAGTTTAAAAATTTATCGGGTCGTTCGGCCGTGTATTTACATGACAGACATACCGTATAATCAAGTGTATACTAAAACTTGGCTGTTGTTTTCATTACCAATGAACCAATATACTCTTTGCCGACTTACCACGCGACAGACGCGCTTCTTCTTATTTTAAACGGTCACACATTTTTTTCCTTAACAAATTCACCTTCGATGAGCTCCAGTTCATCATACCGTAAATCGGAGGGCATGACTTCCAAGGAGGAAAACCATGGGTCATACTAAGAATGCTTTTGTTGACCGAGGTTTGAGGCGTTCCAGAATGAACAGTTGTGAACGTTATCGCTATCGACTTACTGTATATCAGTGAAATGAAATCCCATAGAATACATTCGTTAAATTTGCGTTCCGTTGAACTTCTATAAAACAAAATTTTTTATTCATAAATTTATTTTTTTTCTCTTATAGCTTAACCTTAGTAAAGCGATGATTACATTCGAAGCATCTATTGCGCGTCACAAGTCCTTAACCGTTTTTTACAACATACCATATCATATCAAATGTCTTTTCCACGCTATCATTTTTGACATCCAATTTAATATAAAATCCGATCGATGTGTTTTGATTTTCAAATACGCCAATCAAATCTTTTTAATGCCATTTTATGCTCGAAAAAACAAAGAAAAGAAAAGAAAAGATGTTCAAAAAAAATGTTCGTATAGGTCTATTGCTTTGAGTGCGGTTCTAATGTGATTTCTATTCGTGCTAACGAAGGATATCGATTCAACAAGATCAACTTGATGAATTAATGTTGCGTGCGCGTAATGAGACGATTGGTATTGCAGGAAGAAATTTGGCATTCTAGCCCGAAATGACACACAGTAATTGAAATTTTCTCTGAGAAAAGAATATGTACATCATACAATTGGGAAAATAAATATGCAAAGAAAAGTGAATTGAAGAGGAGTATGTGTGATGGGGAAAATTTATAGGTGGTGTTGAATCATTGAAATGGTATTGCAAGTGGATCTCTAAAAAAAGGTGAAACGGCACGGTCTTCACAAAATGATATGAGTTGAGTTGCGCACCAAAACCCTAACAAATCACGCATCTATCTTCGATAATCCCGAAGAAAGATAGGAAGCTCAAATCCGTCTTCTGGTGAGTATTTCCGAATTCCACGTAAAGGCAGCCGATGGTCGGCTTATCCGGTGTACAACTTAGTTGATATTTCTCCATTAACTCTGCAATAGCAGGCTTTAGTTTTACGATCCCGTCTTGCGAATGGTTACCGCGCCCCACTATTACAGTGAGGTGATCGATATTGTGCTTTTTACAATATTCAATCCTACTTTCCGTCTTCTCGAGTGCCTCCTTGACGAATAATCCGTGAAGGTCGATTTCGTCATATGAACGATTTCCGTTGTTTGCTATTGTTAGATGAGAAAATGGAAGACATAAAGGGATTTGCCTTGAAGGAAACGACAAGCATATTTAAACGTGGTGTGAGACAAACCCGCAAAAATGATCTCGACGGCCTTGGCGTTATATTGAGCCATTATTCTTGCGTGCTCCTTTCCCTTTAGCGACAATTCCTTTGCTCTCTTTCCTTGCTTTTTTTTATAGGCATCCTGCGACTGCGAAAAACATTCATTACGGAGTCTAGCCTCTTCACTGGCCAATTTACGATATTTTTGATACTGCTCTTCGGCGCTCGTACTTCTAAAATATGTCGAGTTTATTTGACCCATGATTTTCGATTGGTTTAGTGGAAAAAAAGAATTAAGATGCGGTTGATACTCTAATTGCAAGAAAAAAAAAATACGCGTTCGCTATTCAAATTTTTTTTATTTAAAAAGATAATTCGAGTGCGAAATGTTGGACCATATTTATACGTGCAAGAAGGGGTAATTAATCGTATTACTACTAGCCATTCGATTAGTTATGGTGTTTGATCATCCTTTTGCGTATCAAAATTGGCCAATGTCCTTAAATTGGCGATCTTCAAGGGAAATACTGTAAGTGCAACAACTATAATTTTGCGTACGCACTTGTCTCTTTTTGTCTCGCATTGTTTACTTTGGGAAAGGACGGAGGTTTTTTCTATCCCGTCGATTATTGTTACCTATACAAGGAAACAGGTGTGTCGTTGTGGTAACAGAAAACTGCATAAAACGCCTCCCAAAAATGCGATGCTCCAAACCGAGTCTAAGTTAACATCGCCGATGAACTTATCAATTATGTCAGGGATTCGCCATGAACAAGGAAAGTTTTTTTCTCTCACGCAATTCTCCGATTACTTTCTTCGTCAAACAAACAACTGACCCTTAATAGGTTATTATTACATGTTTGGAATTCGACGCTTGCATTATTTGCATTATTGCAACGGTGCTTTGAGACAATCGAATGATACTATAGTATATCTTCATCTCGTACGATATCATTATAGTTGTAACAAAAAAAAAATTCCGACCATATTGCACGCCGTTGTTAGTTTCAGCAAATAGAATGATACTACGAAGACCGTAACTATTTCGGCCAATGGAAAAATGATCCATCGTCGTTTCGAGATTTCTTTACTATTGAGCCTGTTACAATCAAGCCTTCCATTAAAGCCTCACGTTATCTACGTTGTTGATGCGATCGAATGATAATCTCCGCAAGATATGTAATACTACAACTTGCATATGCCAAAACGAAAGGAATGACCTGTCAATCTGCGTAAGTCATTTGGATACCTGTTTTGATTTTTTTTTTTCTGAAAAAATCTCCCGAGACTCCTTGATATTTCGTCTTTTGCAATGTGCATCACTACATCACGCACTTAGCATTAATGCGGTTACATACGCGTGTACGCACAGTATATGCACCCATCCCAAAGTTATTCTCTCATATACTGTATATCATCCGCACGCAAGTACAAAGAATTTACTCAAGTGACAAGGGGTTACTTGTGCGACTTTCGTATCCACCATCATCATGCGACCTAGCACAACACCATAAAATCTGTATGCACAGACGTTGTTACGTGCGTAAAGATCAAGATTTCTTTTTCTTTTCTTTTTTTTTTTTTTTGTAACGTACTTCGAAGCCAAATTACTCTTTAGGAAGTGTATAGGATATAAAGACTTAATCAAAAACGGCATTGCCAAAGGTGACCAAAACACAAGACGCATATCTCCATTTTTTCCTTCTTTAAAAAAAAAAAAAAAGGAATCAAGCGCTATCGCCATATATGAAAAGTGTCTCGAACGCTTTGTCATCTCATCATTAACTAGCAAAGATTAGACCACCCTTTAACATTTAGAAAAAATATGCATGCATAAATGGCACAGCTTTTTCTTTCCTGACCTAATTATTTATTTATTATACCATGACAAAGCCATTCTTGTTATTGTACCATGAACCTACGTCTAATTAATCCATATAGGTTCATATTATGATTCCGGCTGCGAACCAAATTCACGCGTCCGCCAAGTTCCACGTCAACCCCCTGTTGCATTATTACTCACAGCATTCATTACACCAACGTTCAGCCTAATGATGTAAGAAAGCTATGCTATTAATTTTTAATTCTACTAGATAAGATCGGAAACATCATTGGTTTTAGGTTAACATTGGCCAAATACAAACTTTTGCCCTTAATAATTCCAGGGCAATTTGTGCACAAATGCTGTGCACTATATATATATATATATATATATATATTTTAAAGTAACTATAAAGTTTATTTGACAAGTAATTATTTAGTAGAATTTATTAGTTTTATAATACTATATGTTTGAAATTTTTAATTGATTTAATATAAAAAATAAGATTTTTGACTTTTCATTAATCAAAAATCAAAATTAAAGCTTACATGATTAAAAAAATTATAATTAAAAATATTTTCTATTGATTCTTTAATTATATATAGAAATGATGTTTGCATAAAGATCTTTTAATTTTTGATCAATAAAGTTTTAATATTATTCTTGACATAACTTGAAAAGTTATTCCTATTTTTTTACTTTTCTATAATATTCTTTATTCAAAAACTTGACTTTAAATAATTAAGAAAAAAGCAAATATTAAAAACATGTAAATAATTAAAAAATAATTTAAAATTATAAAAAAATTATGCAAAATTTTTTTAATTTATTGTATATTAACTTTTATAAATGTTTCACAAACTAAAAATAAAGTAACAAACTTTATAATTAATAAAAATTATTATAAAAATTATCCCAATTTAATTTTTATTAATATCTATTAAAATTAAAATTAAAATATAAAAATCAAGAATAATAATATTATTATTAATTATAGATATTTAAATAATTATTTTAAAATTTTAAGTATATGATTAAAAATTTTTAATTACTTTTTTTTTATTTTATAACAAATTTGTGTATTTTATATATAATAAAATTTAAATTGAATTATAAAAAAAATTTTTTTATCAAAATTTTTTTACCATATAAGTCTCAATTATAATTAAAAAATAATATAATTAAATATATAAATAATAAATTAATATTAATTTATATACAATTTATCATAAAAATCATTAAACCAATATTTCTTTTTATAATTTAATGATTAATTATTTAATATAAATACAACCTTAATTATATATTTTTAAAATAATAAAGATCTATAAATTTATAATATAATAATAGTTCCTTTAGATTATCAATTACAAATTTTCAAGTTTTATATTATATAAAAGTCAAAAATAATTTTCTAATAAAGTTTATTAAATATTTTGTAAAAGTTATATTTAATTATTTGACATTATATTATATCAAGATAAAATTTTAAATTTATTATTAATTAAGTATTATAATATTAAATTAAATTTATTATTAATTAAGTATTATAATATTAAAAAAAATTATATAAAAAATTTTTAATCTAATTAATTATATATACTATATATACTGTATATCATTACTTTTATTATATTAATATATTTTAAAATAAAAAATTTATCTTTTAATAATTTTTTTTAAAAAAACTAAATAACTTAAATTTAGTAATACATAAAAACAAAATAATAACTATATAATTCTTTTTAAAATATATATTTAAGACTCAATAAACAAGTTACTAATAGAGAAATATATAATAATAATAATATTATTATACTCTATTCAAACTTTTGAAAAAAAATAAACAAAAAAGAAAATATAAATTATAATAAGATTAAGAAACCTAATATCAATTTCTTTTGTTTTTAATTAGATTAATATAAATTAATATCTTTTTAAATATTAGAAAGAATTTTACAATATAATAATTTTAACTAGTAAACTGATGTAAAATCGAAATTTGTAAAACTTAAAAATATATTAGAAATTCAAAAACACAATAGTTAAAAATATATATTTATAATATACAAATAAAGATAGGTCTTTAAAGAAAAAGATAAAAATAAAAATCAAATATCTTCTACTAGGAAACATTAAAATTTTTAAATTAATAACTATAAAAAACTTCTTATAATTGTTATTCATTATTCAAATCATTAATTTATAATATTTTTTTATTTTTGTCCTATTAAAGAAAAAGCATTAAATTTTGTCTCTCAAAAAGTAACATAAGTGATATACAAAATTTTATATACTAAATATTTTAGAAATTTATTATTATATATAACTAACTAATACATAATATAAATACAAATATATATTTGCAACTAAACCAATTTACAACAATAATTTATATAATAAATTTTTTAAAATAAATAAAATAATATATATTTCTAATTCATTAATAAATTATATTTCAAATAATAGCTTTTTTTTTTTTATAGATTTATAAAACATTAATTTATAATTAATAATAAATAAATAAAAAACTAATAAATATATACTTATCTTATATTAATTTATAAATATAATGATAACTGATAAATAGTAATTCAAACTTGATCAGAATAGTAAACAGCTACATAAATGAATACATAAAATATTAAATAAATATTTTTCTCTCTTATCTTTTCCAATAACAACTAGTACAACCTCAACATGTTAATTTCTTTTTCTCTTGAGGAAAAGGCAACAAATCACAAGATAGCATATAGCTTATCAGGTTTTATCATTACTAAATATACATCCCTATATTATAGTTTTAATCACTTTCTACAGATATAATTTGAAAAGAATAATAAAATGAGATTACATCAGTTCAAAAAATAAATAAAATAAATAAATAGTGCTTGTAAGCAATATAATATAATAGATAAATAAATAAACAAGAATTAAATATAAATTGAAACTTAAACAACAAATATATAAAATGATTTATCTAATATATTAACAAATATAAATATAGTTTAATATAAAAAATTTTTTCCTACTGATTCCCCTTTTTCCAAAAAAAAATTTTTATAATAATTTTTTTGAAAAAAGTAAAATCAGTTCAAATACATAAGAATAATAATATAATTTTCAAATCTATATAACAAATATATAACAAAACTATCTAGAAACATCAGGGATAGAGATATAAGTGATTTTACTAACAACTTTTCTATATTTCTTTCTTTTTTTTTTCTTAAAATTTTTAGAAAAAAAAAAAAGTCAACTGATAACTGATTCACCTTCAGGAAAAGAAGTCAATATCAATTTCATATAGCTTATAGCCAGGTCAGTGCAGATTAACATCTTTCTTGATACTAAAAATAACCTTAAAAGTAATTAGGTCTACTTGATAAATTAAGTTGTTTCAATCATCTCAAGATCCAAAAGGATATCAAAATTTATTA